GAGGGAACGCTTAATGCGTCAATCTCACGAAACCACTTATACCATGCATCCTGGTAGTAATAAAATGTTCCAAGATCTGAAGAAGACATATTGGTGGCCCACAATGAAGCGGGAAATTTCTGAATTTACAACACGATGTCTGACGTGTCAACAAGTCAAGGCTGAACACCAAGTGCCTAGTGGGTTGTTACATCCACCTACTATCCCTGAATGGAAGTGGGAACGAATTACGATGGACTTTGTGATTGGACTTCCATTTTCAGCTAAGAAAAATGAGACTGTCTGGGTATTTGTTGATCGATTAACCAAGTCATCTCATTTTATTCCTTTTCGACGCAATATGTCCTTGAAGAAGTTGGCAGAGTTGTACATCCGTGAGATTGTAAGATTACATGGTGTACCTTTGTATATCATTTCTGATTGTGACCCGCGATTCACGTCGCAATTCTAGAAGAGTTTGCAGAAAGCCTTAGGTACTAAACATAACTTTAGAACGGCATTTCATCCTCAAACTGACGGACAATCTGAAAGGACAATTCAAATTCTTGAAGATATGATGAGAGCATGTGTAATTAATTTTGGAAGCAACTGGGAACAATACTTACCGCTAATGGAGTTCGCGTATAATAACAGTTATCAAGCGAGGATCCAAATGGCCCCGTACTAAACCTAGTATGGGAGACGCTGTAGAACCCCAGTATGTTGGACAGAATTAAGCGAGCAAAAGCTTGAAGGACCTGATCTCGTTCGCGAAACTGAAGAGAAGTTTCGTCTAATCAGAGAAAGACTGCAGGTGGCTTCCGATCGACAGAAATCTTATGCCGACTTAAAACGTCGGGAGATCGAATATAATGTTGATGACAAGGTGTTTCTGAAAGTCTCACCGTGGAAGAAAGTGCTACGTTTTGGTAGGAAGGGAAAACTAAGTCCGAGATATATTGGACCCTATTGAATCACTGAACGTGTGGGTCCAGTAGCATATCGGTTAGAACTTCCACCATAATTGAACAAGATCCGTGACGTATTCCATGTATCGATGTTGAAAAGATACCGTTCTGATCCATCGCATATCTTGACTGAGGGAATTGTAACTCTTGACGAACAATTGACTTATGAAGAGGAACCTGTACAAATTTTAGCACGAGAGGTCAAACAATTGAGAAACAAATCTGTATCCTTAGTCAAAGTGCTGAGGAATCACTCGACTAAAGAGGCAACATGGGAAACCGAAGAGTCAATGAGGATGCAATATCCGAATCTCTTCAACCAATGACTCAGGTAATTTCGAGGACGAAATTATTTTAAGGGGCAGAGAAATGAAACGCCCGAAAAATAGGCCTATCAGAGTTAATTAATTTATAATTAATTAATTACTGAGAAGGACCCAAAAATAAGTTAATTCTAAAGTTCGTCAATAAATAATGAAAATTATATCAATGTGTAGAGTTTGACTGTCTGACCCCAACGGTTCAATCGGATTTCAATTTGGAGAAAGTTGGACCAAAAAGTATACCCCGACTGGGACCAAATATTAGTCCCAATCAGGGACTACGTACCAAACGACGCCCTGTTCAATTACGCCGATTTCAAAATCCGAATCACCGAGCAATCAAGGAAGCTGCAAACTCCCTATCTTCTTCCTTCCTCACTTGGCTATTTAAGGACAACCCAACTCCCTCATTTCATCACCAAAACAACTCATTCTTCCATCTATATTGTTCCTTGCTGAGAGTGGAGTGCAGTCGTGCTGTCATCTTTGCGTGAGGTGGCCGGAGCAGTGAGATAGAGTCGCCAGAAGTTTCGCCAGAAAATTTTCAAAACCTCCCTTACGCTTCAAGGTAAGCCTGTAGATATATCTAATGACTAGAATGTTTATATAGGTCGTTTCTACGTTCATAAATGGTCATTTGGTTGAGTTTTGTGTTTGACATGTTTGAAGAACCAAGAATCACAAACCTTGAATTTGATGTTAAAAATATGTTTTAATAATTCTGATATGATCTGTAACACCCTAATCCGTCCAGGTCTGCAGCCCTTTTAGGACTAAAGTATAAACTTGGTATTCGTAAACATTCAAAATATTTCAAATATTTAAAACTTTATTAATAAATAATTCAAAATAGTAACGGAGTAATTTAATGTTTCGGAAGCTTAATAAAACATAATACAAACATAATTAATTTATGTCTTTTCAACAGTAATTTAAATGCAAAACACACATCCGTCCGACCTTCTCGTCCCATCTGCCTCCAGGAAATCATTTCTTCATTCATTTTGTTTACCTGCGTGTAGCAAATAAAACATACTACACGCTTAGCGTTTAAGCTGAGTAAGCATATCTAATGCGTCGAACATCCATATAAACTGAATCTAAATTCATAATCAAACCCATTTGATATCATGCACATAATGTTCAGTTCAAGTACTCAATAATCATAAGTCAATATTTAACATTATATTATTTTCACATTTTATCCGTCATTCATAATAACCACAATATTAAATTCAATATTTATTCATATTCAATAATCAACCATATCCTTATACAATACTTAGTCTAAGGCAAATCACTTTAATATTTGTCAACCCTTAAATTAATTCTAGTTTAAATAATTAAACTATATTCCAGTATAAAATATTCCTAAATAATCCTTAAGCTAGGCCTAGTTTAAGATAAAAGGGTTTTGAAAATCTTAAACTTACCTTCACTTAAGGCCAACCAAAAACCGACAGCGTAGTGTTCACTGTTGGGTGGGTGGTACCCCGAAACGAGTAGGTACTCAAGTTTGGTTCTTGGATCCCGTACGTACGTTTTAACCCCAGCCACCGGGGTTCACACCCGCAAGGCCTAACTTAAATAGGTATATCTTAGAGGTCTTCTAGATACCTTTCAAATCAACATTAATATGCGTATATCTTAGAGGTCTTCTAGATACCCTTAACAATATATTATTTTCATAATCATCAATATATTCATTATGATTAAATCATTCACAATTATCATTTTAATCAGAATAGTTATTGAGATTTAATCATCATAATCATCAATCAATAATTATTACCATAATCATTAATCAACATAATATTCAATAACAACTAGCGGCCTAGCTTCGGGTGTTAACACCCGAACTTACCGTCATGCATCACATAACATTTTTATTTGTTAAAAAGATCATTTTTATTGTAAAGAATCATCCTTAAAATAATCATAATCAATTGGTATCAAAAATAGGATTTTAGAGCTCAAAAATAGCAATTTCGGGCAAATTTTCGGATCAGAACTTCGGGGGATCGATCCAGCCCTCTGGATCGATCCATACCATGAA